TTGTGTCGACCGCTCACTTGGTGGTTCGGCGGCTAATTAGCATCACCCGCTAAGCCCGCACGTCGGGTGCCGCAAGAACCTACCCCTTGAGTGAGGGTAGCTCAATGACACGCTTTACTAGAGTTGCTCTTCGCGGCTCCCGCGGGGCGAGCACAATGCCCCTCACAAGCACTTCTCTGGAGCGCCGCACAAGCTTCTTGCGCGCTTCGACGGAGACCACCACCAAGCCGTCTAGGAGGTGGCAACCTCCAAGAGTAACAAGCACCACCGGCTTGCAACTTGATCACCTAGTGCCACTCGATGCAACCTCACGATGCAATCGCACTAGAATCGCTCACTCATACAATCGAATGATCACTATCAAGTATGTGTGAGATGGAGGGCTCCTAAGCACTCTCAAGCATGGACACAAAGTCCCCCAAGGTGCTCCACACAAGCCATGGCCGAAGGCCACTTCTATTTATAGCCCCAAGGGCTAAACTAGCCGTTACCCCTTCACTGGGCAACTGTCGGGCTGACCGGACGCTCCGGTCGTGTTGACCGGACGCTGGACCTCAGCGTTCGGTCGCCCGCAGACGGCCACGTGTCCCGATTCCAACGGTCACTTCACCTGACCGGACGCAGCAGCTTCAACTGACCGGACGCTGGACCCCAGCGTCCGGTCGTTTCCAAAAAGGTACCCGAGGCGTATTTCTTCGACCGGACGCGTCCGGTCGCATGTGATCGGACGCAGCCCAGCGTCCGGTCACACGCCAGCTTCTGCGTCACCGTACGTCAGCCTGACCGGACGCACCCTGCCAGCGTCCGGTGCTTTCAGACCCAGCGTCCGGTCAGTTGACCGACGCCAGCGTCTTCGCGATCAACTCGTTTTCACTTCTAACTTCTTCACCCTTGCTCCAATGTGCTAACCACAAGAACTTGCATTCGGCGCAATAGAAAATAGGCATTTCATTTTCCCGAAAGCGCCGAATCCCTGCAAACACCACCTCCTTTGTAAATGAGCCAACACCACCAAGTGTACACCACCATGTGTATGTGTGTTAGCTTTTCACAATCATTTCCTAAAGGATGTTAGCCACTCAACTTGCCACGCCACTCGATCCTAGCGACAATGCAAAGTTAGATCACTCGAGTGGCACTAGATGACCGATATGCAAATAAGTTTGCTCCTCTTGATAGTACGGCCATCAATCCTAAACTCGGTCATAAACTTCTCTACACACCTATGACCGGTGAAATGAAATGCCTTAGGTTATACCTTTGCCTTGCGCATTCCATTCCATCTCCTTCAATGTCGATGCAACACATGCACCAACACGATCAACAATGATATGATCCACTTCATATCATCACGTGATCATATTGGTTCATCGATCTTGACTTCACTTGCTCTTCACCGTTGCCATCGTCCATCGGCACCACGTCTTGCTCAAGCTTCACCGCCACGCGGTCCATCACTCCAAAGCCTTTGACTTGCCCTTCACGCTTGCAACTGGTCCATCAAGCCAAGTCTTGTCTTGATCTTCTCCACCTTGATCACATGACTCAATGTCATGTCTCATGTGCATTTAAGCTCCTTCATCATCACATGTGTGAGCTTTGTAACATCTCTAAGCCATTTTTACCTTCATGGCATATGTTGCTCACACACATGTACCTGTGGACTAATCACTTGTGTATCTCACATAAACACAATTAGTCCACCTAGGTTGTCACTCAATTACCAAAACCAAGCAAGGACCTTTCACAAGCGGTGCACCCAGGGCCTGCGGTGGCGCCCGCATCCGGGTAAGGACGACGACAGCACGGTCCGCCCTCGCGTGAGGGCCCTAGCGACGCGGTTAGATGCGCAGGCACGGTGGCCTTCGGCAGCAATGCGACTAGACACGCGGCCATGGCCGCCCTAGCGCCGGCGCCGCCAGACCAGCCGTGGGGCTCCTCTCCCTCTCGCGCTCGCTAGCAGCAGCCCCTTCCTCACCAGCGACATCGGCTATCTTCCTCTAGCCGACAGAGGCCCCTTCCCCACCAACGAGGGCTGCTGTGGGCTCAGAGCTGGGCTAGTATTTTCGGAGGCGGGCCTTATTGTGTGCATGCCTCCGAAAAAGGACTTATAGAGGCGGACGCCTTAGGACGATCGCCTCCAAAAATAGACCAATCGCCTCCATAAATATATTTTCGAAGGCGGGCATTTTCTAACCGCCTCTGTAAATAAAATGTCCGCCTCTGTAAATCGATTTTGCAAGGCAGTCATTTTTTTTGTGCCTCGGTAAATAAAACGACCGCCTCCGTTAATCGTCTGGCATTTTATGAGGCGGTTGGATTTTGTGACCGTCTAAGTTAATGTTTGGGCAGTGTCTCGTAAAATCATTTTTGCAGTAGTGCAAGCTCAGGGCAGTGGCATGTACGGGAGCGGGCTCGGCGACATGAAGAGGAAGAAGGCGAGGCCCGAGACTGCGAAGCTGCTGAGCGCCGTGCTCACACCGCCACCGTGATGTCGTTGCGCTTCACGAACGACGACGAGGGTGGCGGCGGCGGGGCGGTGACGGGTGACGGGGACGGGGGTACGATCGGCGGCGGCGGGGGTGCGAAGGCGGCGTGCGGGTGGAGGGGAACGTCGTCTCGGATGTTCCGCTGCTGCTTGCTGCTGTGACATAAGTGGGGAGAGGGCCACGACGATGGCGAGGAGGGGGAGAAAGGGAGGAGCGGGCGCGGACGGCGGCGCCATCGGGCGTGATGAGGTGGGGTGGGGTGGGGGAGGTGGAATGGAAATTTGACGGGGGGCGGGATGTGGGACGAGGTGGGCGTGATTGACTTGCACGCGCTGCTGCTGCCGCACGGGTTGGTTTGGGCCCTGTTTAGTTCCACTTCATTTTGCCAAATTTTTCAAGATTCCCCATCACATCGAATCTTTGGACGCATGCATGAAGCATTAAATATAAATAAAAAACAAAACTAATTACACAGTTTAGACGAAATCCACGAGACGAATCTTTTAAGCCTAATTAGACTATGATTGGACACTAATTGTCAAATAACAACGAAAAGCGCTACAGTTGTATTTTGCTAAAAATTTTGCATCTAAACTGGGCCTTGGTTGTGCTTGGGGTTGGGCTGTTGGGTTTGGGTTGTGTTGCGTGTGGAGGTGTGTTGACTTGGCCGGCCTGCGGGCTTTTTTGTGTTTGTTTTACTCGGTCCGGCCGAGCCGGGACGACACGACGGCCGAGAAGACGCGTCGTGTGTGGTGCCGTGCCTGTGTGGAACGCAGGAGGGAGGGCGGGGATGACCGTGACCCGGCGCCGAGGCGGAAACCGCGCCGCCGCTTGCGGTTCGTCCGGTCGCCCCGCTGGGACGCGGGGTTGAAACGGCGAGGGTCCCATCTCCCATGGACCCAGGCGTCGGTTTCAGGTGGAGCGGAGGGGTCAATAGTAGGGGCACGTAATTTCGGGACGATCCATCCGGATGTGGAAGTCGCGGCTCGCGGAGCGTCGCAATCGAGTGTAAATCTTGCAAGTCGTGCCTCCGCCGGCGCCGGGTGAAACCGTGAAAGCTCCGATTTACAGCGACACCCACTCCTGGGCTCCCGGCTTTGCCTGCCTGCCTGCTTCTCGCTCACTTTCTCAGCAAATCAGTATTTTCTAACACATCCATTTTCTAATGTGGGCGTGGTTTTTGAGCGCCGAAATGATCTCTAGAGACAGTGCGATAAAATTGTCACCTATGAAGTTAGAAGTCATTATCAAGTGAAGTAGTTTTTTTAGTAGTGTATCGTATTTCGCACAGGAAAAATAGTGAGATGGCACTTTTCTATTTAACACATTTAAAAACTATAACCTTTTCATATGAGCTCATAAGGAGAGATTATATTTATATGAATTTTGTAGATCTCAAGGCCATATATAATTTGAAAGTCGCCACCTTTTCATTTGAGGCTGACCATCCTGGTGCCATATAATCAATGCTTTTTACCTGCAACTCTTTGCTATACTCGCTCAGACGAAAACACCTAGAAAGAACGGGCGCATGCCGCAACAACCATTAGGGACGCGTGTTGACAGTGGTTTACCAGCGAATCAATAATGTTCGTCGCAGTTGCGAGGAAGGAGGCGTACACCTCAATAGACCCGCCTGCTAGCTGTACGCGACCATAAAAAGATGTAGCCGTGTTGCCATTGCCAGCCACGTGAATACACCCAGCAATAATATAAGTCATTCTCTCCTACATACCCGCGGTTGAAAGCGTGTCCACTATCGCATTTTATACCTCAAAACCCTTCTATGGCTGCTGTGGCCGACAAAGCAGGTGTGTATGCATGGGACCATGGGTGCATGTTACCATCCACGTGAATACACCCAGTAAATACTGTCATCTCGTACGGTATCAAGCAGGAAGAATAATAAAATACTCCTACATACAGTAATAAGAGCGAGCGATGCAAGTATATAGGGCTTCACACCCGAAAACTTTGTCGAAGACTTTGTCCTGCTGCTCTGCTAGACTTTGTCCTGCTGCTCGGTTAGTCACCCGAAGACTTTGTCCTGCTGCTCTAGTCACCCGAAGACTTTGCCGAAGACTTTGTCCTGCTGCTCTAGTCACCCGAAGACTTTGCCGAAGACTTTGTCCTGATGCTCTAGTCACCCGAAGACTTTGGCCTCGTTCGGCTTACCCCATATTCGGCTTGTTCGGCTTGTTTTTTCAGCCAGAACAGTGTTTTTCTCTCACAACAATTCAGCCGGAACAGTATTTTTCAGCCAGTTTCAGCCAAGATTCAGACCAGCGAACGAGGCTTTGCCGAAGACTTTGTCCTGCTGTTCTGCTAGTCACCCGACCTGCTAGTCACCCGAAGACTTTGCCGAAGACTTTGTCCTGCTGCTCTGCTAGAGGAGAAAACAACACGGGCTGTTGCTGTAGAGACAAGCAAAGCCCTTGTGGTGAAAACCATACGGAAGAGCTTCAATCCACCACAACATGGAGTGATTGAACTCGAGAGCTCGCCATTAACATGGCTGTTGTCTTGGGGGCGATGGGCAGCCTCGCCCCCAAGTTGCTCCAGCTACTCCAATCTGAATACGAGCTGCAGAAGAACATGGAGAGGAAGGTGAAGTTCGTCACTCGGGAGCTGGAGAGCATCCAGGCCGCCCTCCACAAGGTGGCGGCAGTGCCGTGGGATCAGCTCGATGAGCAGGTCAAGGTATGGGCTAGCCAAGTTAGGGATGCATCTTATGACATGGAGGATGTCCTCGACACCTTCCTCGTGCGTGTCGAGGGTGGGGAGCCTGTAAACCGCAGCAGGCTCAAACGTGCACTGAAGAAGATGGGTGGCCTGTTTGGCAAGTTCAAGGCTCGTCGCGACATCACTGGTGCCATTGATGGCATCGAGAAGCAGCTTCAGGAGGTCGCCGACAGGCGTGCCAGGTACAAAATTGATGATATTGTGGCCAATCCTGCACCTGCAACAACTGTTGATCCTCGCCTTTCAGCTTATTACACAAAAGCATCTCAGCTCGTTGGCATCGATGAGCCAAGGGATAAACTCATTGAGATGCTGTCCATACGTGAGGGTGACAGGTCCAGCAATGAGATGAAAATTATCTCTATTGTTGGGTTTGGAGGATTGGGCAAGACCACTCTTGCCAAGGCAGTATATGACAAGGTTTATCATCAATTTGATTGTGGTGCTTTTGTTCCAGTGGGCCGTAATCCTGACCCAAAGAAAGTCCTGAGGGACATTTTAATTGATCTCATTAATGGTGAGGACGAGAAACCCTTCTCTGATCAGTATAATGGAAGGAACACCGTTCCTGATCTGATGCCACTGGATGAACGGCAGCTCATCATTAAACTTCGTAAATTCATCGAAGGAAAAAGGTACACATTACCTACCCAATGCTATTAACAAAATTTTATACAATATGATTGATCAGTGCTTTTAGTCTGATACTTTAAGACTACTTAAAGAGGAATGCATCATTCGGGTCTCTATACATGTTGCAGGTTATTTTACTGATTATCAGCTTTCGCATCTATCATGTGCCTAGCTACTTCAATGCCTTTCGATGATATAGGGGATAACGATCTTTTGGATAATTATTAACTGTTATAAAAACGGTTTGTGTAGGCCCATTTTATTTTTATGGTGGTCCACTAAGGGCCTCCGGCTATACTGTATGTATCAATTTTCAAAAGGGGTAGAAACTGAATTTTCATAGGTCTGTCTCTACTGTATATATCGTGAGTTTAATAACCTGCTCTATTTTTGTTCTACTTAATAGTTTCTTAAAAATCGATTTTCTAAAGAAGGCCACCTAAGCCAATTGCCTTTCAAACTCTATCTTAAGTGGTAGTCGCATCAGGTGGCCCACCTCTGAAAATCAAATTTGTTGTAGTAACCAATGTCAGTTTTTACAAGAAACTTGTGATGTTTCAAAGTAAGTCCAGAGCAATGAATTACCGTCGAGCTAACAAATTTGCTATTAGACCACTCCCTTCGTTTGTCAGTCAAACACTGTTTGATGAATAATTTCTGTTCTGATCAAGAGTAAAAATTTATCCAATAACCAACTGCATTATGCACAGTAGAGTGATCTGTGAGGTACATACCCGCCCCCTCTACAACTATTTGTCTATAATTACAAGACTGAAGAAGGCACATGAGGCTATCCCTTCAAAATTTCCTTGTTTTTCCACACACGACATAATGGAGTGGAGGGGATTCCAACATAAGTTTGTCATCCTCCTCTTCATCTAGCACAGTGTGACTAAGGTTCTCAACCATCCTCCGCTTGCAACCACGATAAGTTTTAACAATATTGCATGGTACTCCCTTTGCTTACTAAGAGGTAATACCCCAAACAAATATGAGCCCTTGATTTTTTAGGTTTTTTAATTAACTAATTAATTAATTAACCTGGTAAATGAAAAAAATATTGTCAAATCCTAGATACAGAAGCAATAGGGTGCGACCAATTGTATGGCGAGCGATAGGATGCAGATGGAAGAGAGCGCGAGGTCGGCTGGGAGCGACCGAACGGACCACCAAGCCCATGTGGCCATGATTTTTCACGTATGTTTTTATAACATGTTTCATGTACGTTGGACATATTTCTCAAAAAAATGTACATTGGACATGTAGGCAAAGTTGGCACATACACAAAGTTTCACGTTTGCATCAATATATCACGTTATGCTATAAACGTAGGCATCAATAGATAATATAAAGTTGAACATTCAATTATGTCATATCTAATGTTGCAAAAAATAAAAAGATTTACCGCATCTAATAAATCATGTATACATCAATTAGATCAAAAAAGAAATGTAATAGCAGAGCTGGACTCTATGGTTGACACATCCAAGTAGTATTAGATTGCATCTTAAGAATAGGTTGAGTATTATTGTATATGGACTCCTGGATAGATACGTACTCCATGGCAATATTTGATATGAAATGTTCAATTTATGTATCCCTTAATTTGGTCAACCATATTAGTTGTGTTCGATATTAAATATTTGGATTCATCATTTGATCTTGGCTATCAACGATAGAGATATTTTTTTGTTGAGATTATAAAAGTTGTATTTGGGATTAACCAAGACTCTTGGATGACTATAACAATCAATGGTATAGATCATACCTTATTTTATAAGTTATACTAGAATCATGCCCATGCGTTGCAACAAAAAAAAAATACCATGATTACCAAGACTTCATTAGGTTTGTAGCTAAATTAAACTGGAAGAAAATAAAAAGTGAATTTATTATACCTCTACAAGTGCACGGATGGCAAGGTTCATGGTCTTTTTGCCAGAGGTCTGCTTTTAGTTCTTCTCCAGGAATTCATGCATAGAGTTGGAGTTCCATCTTGTGGCGTTGGCCTTCTATGCAGAGGAGGTATAACGTAGACGGATTGATGCTGGTTTGTCCGAGTAGGGGTTGAACTGCACCACCGGATGATATAAGCACACGGACAGGGATGCATGAGCTCTGGGGAGACAATGACGTGGATCGGGACTCCATATTGGACGCATGAGCATGGTAGAGGATGATGTTATGGTCTTTTTAGGTATAGAGATTTGGTATGACACCTATGAACCAATGCAAATTGCCGTAACATGTTCTGAAAATCAAACGGAGTAAATTTTTCTTTTTTTTCCGTTTAATGTGTTAATATCTAAGTCGTGACTTCTTTTTTAAGACATGTTATTCTTGATTTTGGTAGCATCTCAGGATCAAAGCATTCATTTAAAACATAATGCTTTGCCAATCAAGCAATGTTTTTTTACATACTTGTATATATTTTTTAGTATAACATGCAGCAACACGGCGGGTGCCTTATGCAAATTGTCATATACTGGTAGCTATTAGGATACATGGTAGAATGTAAGAGGTGTGCTCAACCCTTGGGATAAATTATGGGAACACCATTCAGTTATTTTGCTTTTATTGATTCATGGCTCTTGCCCTTTCATGTACAGGTACTGCATCGTTATCGATGATATATGGGATGAAAAAACATGGGAAGTCATTAAAAATGCTTTCGTGGACAGTAATCCTAGAAGTAGAATAATTGCAACCACTCGCAATCCTAAAGTCTCTGAAGAAATTGGCAAAGTTTATAGAATGGAAAAGCTTCCAGAAAGCCAGTCAAGAAAACTATTATATTCAAGAACATTTGGCGCAGAAGAAAAATGGCCAGGGAACAATGATGAATTGGCTGTGGTATCTCAAAAAATACTGCATAGATGTGATGGTGTACCACTAGCTATTATTACAATAGGCAGTTTGTTGGCTGAGAAACAAATAGAGGAGTGGTCCAATGTGTATGACTCAGTTGGTTTTGGCCATGGAGATGACCGACAAGTTAACAATATGAAGAAGATATTATCTTTCAGCTACTACGATCTACCCTGTCATCTAAGGACATGCATGTTGTGTCTAACTGTGTATCCAGAAGATTCTAGGATCAACAATGATGGCTTAATTTACAGGTGGATAGCTGAAGGTCTAGTCCAGACAGAAGAAGGAAAAGAGCCTTTTAAGGTAGGAGAAAGCTACGTCCTTGAGCTCATAAATAGAGGCATGATCGAACCAGTGGAGCACTATGGTTTTTTAAAAGGTTGTCGTGTCCATGACATGGTACTTCATATGATTCGTAATCTGTCCAGGGATGAAAACTTTTTTGCTGTGCAGGATAGTAAGCAATGGTCACAAGGAAGTGATGTCCGTCGACTAGCCTTGCACGGGGCAGAACATATTAAAGTTAATGATAGAGACGTGCCAAAACTGAGATCATTTAATGCCATACGGTGCGTTACAGACAACATCCCCCCTGTTTCGAGATTTAAATTGCTGCGTGTGTTGTCTCTAGAGGGTTGTCGTCCTCTGGAAGGTCATCTTGATACAGAGTATCTGGGGAAGTTATTTCATCTGAGGTACCTTGCGCTAGTGGATACACCTATCCGTGAGCTCTCTAAAAAAATAGGGCATCTTAAGTTTCTGCAGACACTGGTGTTTACTAGAACTGGGGTAGAAGAACTACCGACGAGTATGAAGCAGCTTACAAAATTAATGTGCCTAATTGCTGATGACAAGACGAGAGTGCCGGATTGGATCGGCGAGCTGACGTCCTTAGCAGAGCTGTCGATGCAGGGTGCTGATGCAGACAGGTGCTTAATCAAGGAGTTGGGCAAGCTAAGAAACCTCAGGACGCTCTGCATAGGAATAGCTCTGCAGGACGATGAAGGAGAGGTGCGGGGATTTCTAGAGGCCCTGAGTAATCTGGAAAAGATAGAAGCTATATCAGTCCAGACGTCGAAACGTTTTGGCTGCAAGGATGCTATCCCTATCATGCAACCGAGTTTTGTCCTACATTGCAATAATCTCCGTGCACTGGACTTATTCCCGTGGGTATTCTCAAAGCTGCCCAAGTGGATTAACCCTCAAGCTCTTCCCAAGCTCTGCACGTTGAAACTGAATTTGTCAGTACTGTATCAGCAGGATGTGGAAATCCTTGGCAAGTTTCAGAACCTCTGTTTTCTCTGGCTATGCGTCTCTGGTTTCTGGTCAAAAAATAGTATTGTTGGTGGTGGAAGATTCCAGAATTTGAGGTACTTCGTAGGGGACGCACTATGCCACCAACTAGAATTTGTACGGGGAGCTGTGCCAAGGCTTGAAGACATAAGGTTGCTCATCTCTGTGCGTAGAATATTTAACACTAGCTATGACCTCGGTCTCAAATTTGGATTGGGAAACATCTCTGCGCTCCAGGCAGTGGAAGCTCTATTGGACTGTTCCTATTGCCTCCGTAGGGAGGTGGAGGAAGTGGAGGCTGAGTTGAGGCACGCAGTCAGCATCCACCCCAACCGTCCAACCCTTCAAATCAGTAGAAGACGTGAAGACGAAATGGTGACCTCCTCAGATTCAGTGGTGGAACGACAAAAAAAGAGGGTCCGTACCAGTTGCACTGTCTAATTATAACATTATTTGGTTTTTATCATTACTGTATACACCTACTTATGCAGTCCGAAATGATCAACAGGCGCACAGGCTACGGTCACAAATTGGTTTTCTGAAGATTGCTCATAACGCAATGAACCAGGAGGTGCGCGAGATGGGCGACATCAAAATTGACTTGAATCCCAGTGATGCAAAAAATAAGGTACACTCATGAGATCATCATCATGTATCAGTTGTACGACCTTTCAGATTTGAATATCTTTTCTTCATCAGCCGTAGTTACCTTTCTTGTCCAGATAGTTAATAATTCATTATTGCTACGTTCGATCTCATTCCAGCAGAAGATATCAAAATGACATTATTGCAACTTATAACATTATTTATTATAATGTTATATCTGCTGTCTAGTGTCGAATTTATTATAAATACATAGTTGTCGCGTAGCTCTTAATTGTCAATCTCTGCCTACCGGCTAAAATTAACAGCAGGCACAGAGACTCGATGAAAGAATTTATCATCAGATAGTACTTCATAACTCAATCCATCATGAGGCAGTCGAGATGGGCTAGCAGATAACCAACTTGAATCTCAGTGATGATTCAAAGAAAAATAACTAATTCATCCTATTCAATGTTTAATCGATCTCACAGCCAAATATCAATTCAAGCTTGGCACGTCCATGTTGGTGCCTTTTATTCTTGCTATCTTCCTTTAATTCTCTATATATACCATTCAGCCCGTCCCTGCACGCCCGGCCCTTGAAGTACTACTTCGTCCATTCTTTTCTCATGGCATTTTAGACTAGTCCTAATGGGGTTTCAATCTATGTAAATAAAGCGCCATATGGACAAAAATGGCATCACGGCATTAGAGTTATGGAGAGAGAATGATGGAAGATGCTAGTTTCATCAAGATTGGGCGTTGAGAATGTTGCATTGCATCCTACTGTCTAGTAGCGTGCATCACAATTTAATGCTATGTCCATCCTATGAAACGACAAAAATACTCAATGTCTTGTAGGTGGTATTTTCATTCATCTACTGCAAACAGTAAAAGTGATGTGCCACCGTTAGTAACAACAACAAAATGGAACTTTTTACTGGTGTTCGCCCGAGGTAGATAATTTTCATCCGTAATAAATAATGTTTTGTGTTTCCTATGAGAAATTTGTTTACACGAGGACCACTACACTAATAAATGAGTTTGGTAGAGACAAGGATGTCCACTGTGTCACCCATATATATACTCTTACTCCCTCCTACCCAAAAAGAGTGTTATGGGTTCTGTGTACGTTAAAGATTCTTAAGTTTGGCTACATTTATAGAAAATATTAGCAACATTTGTATCTAAAAATAAGCTCATTAGAAAAATATATTTAAGAATTAATCTAATGATATTTATTATATTCCATAAACATTAATAATTAATTATACATATTAGGTCAAAGTTAAAAATGTTTGACTTCCTATGAGACAAAGGGAGTATGTCATAATATATGTGATTCTATATTCTAATTAAGGACACCCTAAAGGGCAATTTAGCAGGGACATGTTCCTTCTATAATGGCTTAGGCTCCGGCTCTTATGAAAAACATTTGGTAAAACGGTTTGGGAGAGTATATTTGAGAGGAGGAGCCGCTAGAAGCTAAAAGTTTTGGCATTGGCTCATAGTTCAAAAAATCTAGGGCGGCGATAGCGGTGAGGTGGTGGGCGGTGGGGTGGGATGCGTGGGGGTGGCTAGAGGGTTGGGTTGGTGATGCGGCTGCCAATGGGGTTGGGGTGCTAGGTTATGGTGGGAACAAAAAGGGATGAGTGTCGTATTGAGGGAGAGAGACAGAGGCAGGGTGGGGACGGGGTTGAGGCTGGGGGGCAGTCTTCTGAGGATTACTTATCGCACCATTTTTTCATAGCAGGTTGCCAAGTAAAAGAAGCCCATCTCCAAAAATTGATTCTCAAAGGCTAGCCTCTAAAGTGGACCGCCTCCCTTACCATTTACACAAAGGGTCCATTGGTCCACCTTTTAAACTCAATATTCTGAAATGGGGTTATATTTTAGCGTCTCCTAAAAATAGCTGACATAAAAAAACCTTTGACAGAAATGGACTGACAAAAGTGCAATGTCTGAAAATAAAAGGCTCTCTCCTAAAATCATTTGTGTGTTGGTGCTTGCAACAGGTGCAAGGATTTCGTCAGCTATTCTCCGAGACAGTTAACCGCGTGCAGCACAAGCTACCTCCCGTGCAAGAAGATACACCTATACATGATCGTGACCTCACACATCACGCTCCTGTAATGCACGTCTTCACTTCAATCCACATATTGCAGCCTTATGTTTTGTACGCACCCAGTTTGTATTAATTGGAAATGCATTCTGTTCTCACAATAGGTGGAGGATATCAAGGCTATGGAACAGGCATTGGAGATACTCACCGTCGAATATCCACGACTCGCTGCAATGCTGGACGAACTGAGATATACGTTCAGCCTGCAGGTACGTCATACTCTGTACTCATGATACTACGTACATACATTGCGAATAATCCATGGTTGCCCAGTTTTAGCCTCTAACTTTATAAAACTGTTTGCACAGGGAGCTATGCCAATGCCTCATGTCTTGAACCTGAACATCCGTGTGTTTGACATTATGGTCGACAAGCTGGGTCTTGACCTAGGATTATTAGGAAAGATCTCATCACTGCAGGGAATCAATGCTCACGTCATCTGTCAGTTTTGCTTCCCAACAGAGGTGGAGAAAGTGGAGGCCGAGCTGAGGCAAGCGGTCGAGATCCACCACCCTAACAACCCTCCAACGCTTGAGATCATAAGATACGCTGAAGATAGAATGGTAAAGTCTGATTCAGATTCGCAGATGTTGGGACGACAAACAATGAAGGTACGTGCACCGCTTGGCACTACAGTACTTTATCAATCATCAGATTTTGTAGCCTTGGTCTCAACCCTAAATCTATGCCTTGAACCGGCTGAAATTATTAAAAACAGAGGACAGGACTCGTCGACAGAGTCAATCATGAGAAACACCTTCATAGCACACTGATTGATAAGGTAATCGAGATTGTTGAGCAGCAAACCAATACAACTCTCAGGGATGCTGCAAAACATAAGGTACTCTCCACTTGGTCCACAGGGTCATTGATTCTGAGTCCATGCATTATGAATGGAAATAATCATACCATCTAGTATCTACACACCTTTCTGACTTGGCTGCTCCTTAAATTTGTCTGCACGTGTCATATAGGTCCCCAAAATCATAAAATATATCTTTAGGTCCCTAAAGTAAGTTTGGGTTTCATCCAAGTCCACACGGGTGCTTACCCGACCCGCTAGCTGATGTGCCATACTGACTCAGCACTTACATGGATCTCTACGGTTTTCGAAAAAACGTATTTTTTTATATGACCTCGGATGAAGATGATTATTTTATGAAAACTGTAGCCCTTGATGAGATTGATAACTGTCTAGTTTTGAGTTTTTTTTAAATTTGAGATCATTAAGATGCTCAAAAATATTGTAAAGTTTTAGCAGCATATTAATCGCATACAAAACTTGTCGCCAAAGAAAAATCATAATTTTCTTGTATGGTGTCAAATAAAGACACTTTGTATATGAAAGTTATAGCTCTAGACGAGGTCTACATATTTATAGTTTGAATGCAGTCAGATAATTTATATGAAAGTTGTTGCACTCGATTACATCTACATCTTTCAAGTATTGAGATTTTTTATAAATTTGTAGATCTCATCAAGACCTAGAATTTTTGTATGCAAAGTATTTTTATCGGACACCATACGAAAAATATGATTTACATGTTTGGTACACGATTAACATGTTGCTAAGAAGTTTACATTAAAAGCATCTTAACCATCTCAAATAAAAACCCAAAACTAGAAAGTTACAGATCTCATGGAGGGCTACAATTGCCATATTAGAATTAGCTCCATCCAAGGCCGTATGAAAAAGGATACTCAGATCCATGTAAACGTTGAATCAGCATGCCACGTCAGCTATCAGGTCGTGTAAATACTCGTTTACTAGATGAGACCTGAACTAACTTCAGGGCCCAAAAATGTATTTTGAGACTTTGGGAACCTATATGGCACTTACAGGTAACTTCAAGGAGCTTTGGTGAATTTCACTCTTTTTCTGTTGACCCTTATGGTTGTTGGCCACCTTGCTTGCAGGAGCAACGATTTCGTGAGCACTTCAATGCCATCAAAGACCGTGTGGCACATGAACTACTTCGGGTGTATGAAAATATACCTAATCCTGACCTCAAAAGATTGGTAATGTGTTTCCCATTGCTATGATCATTATCTCGCATCATCTCCCACATTGTGCTGCTTCATTCATACTTTACGCTGGTTACTCATTATTTTTCGTTTGCACAAACTTAGTCTCTCATAATACAATGCCTTGAGTAGCCCACCCATCCAGTTGTATTTAACGGAAATGCTTTGCATGCTTCTGGCAACAGACGGAAGAAATTGAGGATACGGAACGGGCGCTCCAGATACTTACGGTTGAATATCCACGGCTGGCTGCAATGCTAGAGGAACTGATAACTGCACTCGGCCTGGAGGTTCTCATTTATATATATTAATTAAATGCCATTGGTTTCTGCTCGTCTCTTCTCAGAACCATATAATAATAAATATTGTTTCCAGGCAGAGGATGAGGATGAGGTCACAGACGACAAGGAGGCCACGGCAACCTCACTATCCGACAGAAAAGTGGAGGATGAGGTAACAGAGAATGAGGATACTGAATGCATTGGAGAACCTTCATTGCCCAGTTACCGCTAAATAAGATAGCTTGTACATCATCGATTTGACAAAATTTGTACAGGGAGCTGTGCCAAGGCCTCGAGTCATGGCCTTGTACATCGATGTGGATGATGTAATGGACAACAACATCGGTCTCCACTTTGGAGTAGGAAACCACCGGTCTCTCCAGGGACAGGGAATCAAGGCTTACATCGACTGTGCCCTTTGCTTCCCAACTGAAGTGGAGTCGGTGGAGGCTGAGTTGAGGCACGCCATCCATATCCAGCAACCCAACAACCCTCCAACCATAGAGATCATAAGATTCCGTGAAGATAAAATGGTGAACTCTGATTCGCAGATGTTGGAACGACAAAACCGGAGGGTACGTATAGCTGTAACAAGATCGATCTGCTCTCTACTTTTTAATTTATTATAAATACATAGTTGTCGCGTAGCTCTTAATGGTCAATCTCTGCCTATGCCGGGTAATAAAATTAACAACAGGCCGCAAGACTCTGGGTAAGAATTGGACATCAGCAAGACCTTCATAACGCAATTTATAGCGAGGCAGTCGAGATGCGCGAGCTGATAACGAACTTGAATCTCGATGATGATACAAAGAATAAGGTACTTCTCGTCACGCATGAATAACTAATTCATTCCATGAATTGTTTAATCGATCTCACAGCAAAATCTCAATCCAAGCTAGGCACGTCCATGTTGGTGCCTTTTATTAACTAGCAAATGTGCCCGTGCGTTGCAACGAGAGAAAAAGTGCTAAATAACTATTTATATGTTTTCCCCTTTTTATAAAATTTGAGAGCTATAATTTTTTTTGGTGATGACATCCAAAATATATGCAAAAGTTGACAATAATACGGCAATGTATAATTAAGCCTGTATCGTTAAAATAAGGTCCTGATAGGTTTTTTCTCGCATTGCTAAACACAAATATATTTGCTCGTAGATATAATTAAGTTTAATTTTTATAATATCCATACGTTGGAAAATTATAGCCCTTCATGAGGTCTATAACTTTCTAGTTTTGAGTTTTTGAAATGAGACCAGTAAGATGCTCAAAAATATTGTAAAGTTTCTGCAGCATATTGATCGCGTACCAAACTTGTCGTCATAGAAAAATCATATATTTCTTGTATGGTGTCGGATAAAGATACTTTGTATATGAAAATTATAGCTCTAGATGAGAAATACATATTCATAGTTTGAATTTTGTCATTTGAGGTCATTAAGATGGTCAAATAATTAATATAAAGTTTCAACAACATATTAATCACGTGCTAGGGCTTGTCGCCTTAGAAAAATTATATGTTTTTTGTATGCGGTCAGATAAAGATACTTTTTATATGAAAGCTGCAGTGCTCGATGGGATCTACAACTTTCATGTATTGAGATGTTTTATTTGAAGTTGTTTAGGCTTTTAAAAAAAATGATACACACAACTTCAAATAAAAATCCAAACAACTTCAAATTAAAAAAAACTTAAAATTATAAAGTTGCAGATCTTTTCAAGAGCTACAACTTCAATATGAAAAGTATCTTTATCTGACTGCATACAAGAAAGATATGATTTTTTTAAGATGACAAGCCCAAGTATGTAATTTATATTATTTTTCTGACCATTTTAACGATCTCAAATGACAAAATTCAAAACTATGAATTTGTAGATATCATCGAGAGCTCATATATAAAATATCTTTATCTGACACCATGCAAGAAAGAGATTAATATGCTGTTAAAATTTATTTTATTTTTTTGATCATCTTAACCATCTCAAATGACAATATTCAAAATTACGAATTTGAGATCTCATCGAGACCTAGAATTTTCATATACAAAGTATATTAATAAAACAACATACAAAAAATATGATTTACAAGTTTGGTACGCGATTAATACGTTGCTGAAACTTTATATTACCATATTGAGCATCTTAATGTTCTCAAATGAAAAAACTCAAAACTAGAAAGTTTTAGATCTCATGGAGGGCTACACTTGTCATATTAGAATCATCTTCATCCAAGGTCGTACTTTATCAATCATCAGATTTTGTAGCCTTGGTCTCAACTCTAAATCTATGCCTTGAACTGGCTGAAATTATTAAAAACAGAGGACAGGACTCGTCGACAGAGTCAATCATCAGAAACACCTTTATAACACACTGATTGATAAGGTAATCGAGATTGTTGAGCAGAAAACCAATACGACTCTCAGCGATGCTGCAAAACATAAGGTACTCTCCACTTGATCCACAGGGTCATTGATTCTGAGTCCATGCATTATGAATGGAAATAATCATACCATCTAGTATCTACACACCTTTCTGATTTGGCTGCTCCTTAAAGCTGTCTGCACGTGTCATATAGGTCCCCAAAATCATAAAATGTATCTTTAGGTCCCTAAAGTAAGTTCGGGTCTCATCCAAGTCCACACGGGTGCTTACCCGACCCGCTAGCTGATGTGCCATACTGACTCAGCACTTACATGGATCTCTACGGTTTTCGAAAAAACGTATTTTTTTATACGACCTCGGATGAAGATGATTATTTTATGAAAACTGTAGCCCTTGATGAGATTGATAACAATCTAGTTTTGAGTTTTTTAATTTGAGATCATTAAGATGCTCAAAAAATATTGTAAAGTTTTAGCAGCATATTAATCGCGTACAAAACTTGTCGCCAAAGAAAAATCATAACTTTTTTGTATGGTGTCAAATAAAGACAGCTCTAGATGAGGTCTACATATTTATAGTTTGAATTTAGTCAATTGAGGTCATTAAGATGGTTAAACATTTAGTATAAAGTTTCAGCAACATATTAATCGTGTGTACCCTAGCTTGTCGCCTTAAAAAATCATATCTTTTTTGTATGCAGTCAGATAATTTATATGAAAGTTGTTGCACTCGATTTTATCTACATCTTCCAAGTATTGAGATTTTATATGATTTTGTAGATCTCATCGAGACCTAGAATTTTTGTATGCAAAGTATTTTTATCATGGAGGGTTACGATTGCCATATTAGAATTAGCTCCATCCAAGGCCGTATGAAAAAGGATACTCAGATCCATGTAAACGTTGAATTAGCATGCCACGTCAGCTACCGGGTCGGGTAAATACTCATTTACTGGATGAGACCTGAACTAACTTCAGGGCCCAAAAATGTATTTTGAGACTTTGGGAACCTATATGGCACTTACAGGTAACTTCAAGGGCCTTCGGTGAATTTCACTCTTTTTTTTTTGCTGACCCTTTTGGTTGTTGGCCACCTTGCTTACAGGAGCGGCGATTTCATGAGAACTTCAATGCCGTCAAAGACCGTGTGGAACATGAACTACTTCGGGTGAAAGAAAATATACCTAATCGTGACCTCAAAAGATTGGTAATGTGTTTTCAATTGCTACGATCATTATCTTGCACCATCTCCCACATTGTGCTGCTTCATTCATACTTTATGCTGGTTACTCATTATTTTTCGTTTGCACAAATTAAACTTAGTCACTCATATATACAAAGCCTTGAGTAACCCACCCATGCAGTTGTATTTAACGGAAATGCTTTGCACCCTTGTGGCAACAGACAGATGAAATTGAGGATATGGAATGGGCGCTCCAGATACTTACGGTTGAATATCCACGGCTGGCTGCAATGCTGGAGGAACTGAAAACTGCACTCGGCCTGGAGGTTCTCATTTATATATATTAATTAAAGGCCATTGGTTTCTGCTCGTCTCTTATCAGCAACATAATAATAAATATCATTTCCAGGCAGAGGATGAGGTCACAGACGACGAGGAGGCCTCGGCAACCTCACTATCCCAGGAGGTGGTCTCTGCAGCCTCAGTGTCTGAAACAAATGGGGAGGAGCCAATACACTTGTCGAATCAATAATCCATCGGTTTATATATACAATCAACGCCAGTGAAGTGACCATCCACAGCATGCTAATAATCTGTTTCAAGGAGAATTTCGCCTCGGCTTGTGAGTCTTCATTTTAGTTGACTCAGGTGTGTTATGTCTTGGTGTGGGGCTACAGCATATATATAATTCGTAACAACTCTGTTTTTAGTCGAGTAATAAAGTACGTAGACATATGCATCTGCGTGCCTTCAAAAACCCTGTAATAACCGGAAGATTTGTCTTCAAGTCGTTGCTGTGTGTGCTCTCAAAACCTTAAGACGCAGAACATGGTGTTCATAGTTATCTATTTTCGACACTTGCGAGGTATTTGTTTCCAGGATGTGCATAGTTTTCCTGCTGGAGTTCTCTCCTGCAGATTGTGTTGCACGAGAAGCACGTGTTGGATGATTCCAATCCGCTGGTTTGCATCTTTTACTGACTGTATATGCGCCAAGCTGCCTAATTGTCTTATTTATTACTCCTAATTGTCTTTTACCCATCACGTACCCTCGGACTCTGACGCGTAGTCGTAGGCCATAGCGACGCGGCCTGATGAGATTCGCGAGGTGTCGGCAGCCATCCTCGAGGACAAGTCGCCAAGATCCGCGACATCATCGACGACTACCCTTACGTCGCCATGGACGTGCAGCACCCCGCCGTACATGGTGCACCCCCTCTCTGTCCGGAGCTGCTGAGCAAGTCGCTGGCCGAGTACAACTATGCCACGATGAAGGCCACCGTCGACTGAGCAAGTCGCAGGGCACGCAGCCGATGATTGACCCGGACGACAGACGCCGTCCCTGCGCCTGACAGTCAACTTCTGAGGGTTTGACCCTCGGATCGACGTCAGCCTGTTCGGATGGCTGGCTGGTTCGTGGCTGGACCATGGATTATTACTGCTGGCTAGTTTGGTGTGAGAGAAAAATACTGTTTCGCCTGAAAATTTACGATCGTTTACGAGATCCACCAGCCAACCCAACAGGCTGCGCATCGATTACGGATCTCCAAGTTGCTCACCAACGGAACTACGGAAGCCTGCCTGACACGATTGTATATATGTTACTATTATACAATCTAGATTTTTGTTTTGATTGGTTTGGGTTGTCTGCTCATGCTAGTTACAGGACAGCCTCGCGTGTACGTGTGTCGGAGACTTGGAGTCCGGCCGAATCTATGACTTTGCCCATGTTACGTTTTGTGGCGGCAATCCGCGTTGCGTTGCGTGCAGTGTGCGGCTGCAGCCGTGCGCAGACCCCGCGCTGGCATGCCACGGAATGGCTGGGCTCACGATTTCGTATTTCACCAAAATAAAATGACAAATGAAATCTTAGAAAAGTTAAGGCTGCTATATCGCAGTCAATGTTATCTAGAAATCACGTATATTTTTTAGAGGCAGTTGCATAAAATGATTTGTACACTCTGTTGATAACATGTCTCACCTCGAAAAATAGATTTCTAAACCCAGTTGATAATGTTGTCCACCTCTATAAAAATCAAATAAAAACAAAAAAGTACAGTGCATGTAAGGATGGCAATGGGTAAATCCCCATCGGGTATGGCCACCACAGACCTATCCCCGCCATAAAAATTTGGTACCGTCAGAGTACACATACCCGTCATGGGTGGAGAATTTTCCCTAGACCCATACCCGGCCGGGTAAATCATACCGTCGGGCCACCCGTACCCACCAATAATTTATTCACGCACATGAAAATCAACAATTCAACAGCAACCACTACTAACCAGAGCACATAAAATTAGACAAATAATAGCATATAATAATATCTTCTGCAAATTAAGATTCCTTTTCATTTAGTTTCTCCTCTACATTAGTCATGATTAATGTAGAAGTTACTGATTATAGGCATGGTTTCGGGAACTTCCAAGTGGAGTATTGGACTCGTTGACTCCAGAACAAGTGATGCACTGCAACACTGAAGAAGAGTGTAGCCATCTTGCAAGTACCCTACCTCCTGTTGAAGCAGCATTGCTTGAATGGGCCATCAATCTCATGGCAGATGTGGTGGAAAATGAAAGCTACAACAAGATGAATGCTCGCAACATTGCTATGGTTTTTGCACCAAATATGACCAAGGTTACTGGCAAGCATATTTGTTTCTCTCTACTTACATTACTTTTCAGAATCTATAGTCTAACCACGGAGCATTGATCTCTTTCAGATGGCGGACTAGGCGGGTCACGCGGGTGGGACCGTGGGAAAATGGCAATTGGGATAGGGTTGGCAAACCTAGGGTTTTACATGGGCTGGTGGGCTTCTTCACTTTTGGGCCGGATATTTTTCACCCATGGGTAAACGGGTATGGGGACTGCTGGAACATACACATACCCGCGTACCCAATGGGTGAAGGGTTTGGTCCATTTACGTACCCGTGGGTAGTGTGTTTAGTCCATATTTAGACCCCTAATGGAGTAAATACCCGTCGGGTATCAGGTCGCGGGTCCCCATTGCCATCTTTAAGTGCATGTACGGCCACAGTGGCCGCACACCCGGGCTCCCTGAGGCAAATATTTTTTAATTTAAGATCGTTTGGATATCCAAATATTTTCATTTCAAATCATCTATCTAACGAAAATTACGTTTGATTTCCCAAATTAAAAATTTGAATTTTTCAAACGATCTTGGATGGTGAAACGCCCAAAACAAAAGTTGTAGATCTCGAAAAGTTATACAACTTTGTAGTTGACAACTTTTTCATTTGAATTCATTTACTAGTTTAAAATGCTATTTGAAATTAAATTTTAAAATTTTTGAAAAAAACTCTGATTTCTCTTTTTAATCTCTGGCTAAAACTTGTAACTAGTCTTTCTCCCTCATACTAACTTCAAATTTGATGATTTTTTTTCTAAAAAATTCTAAAATCATGCTCTATCAATTTATTGTATTCTTACGGCTATTATTTTATCCATCTTTTCATGTGACTGTGTTTTATCTATTTGAATTTTGAATTTCAAAAAATAGCAACTTCAAACGTTATTTTGGAACACTAAATGTTTTCAAATAAAAAATTCATGAACATAGAAGTTGTAGAACTTATGAAGATGTACAACTTTTATTTTAGTTATTTCTTCATCCGATAAAGTGGTAGTTATATTGTTCACAAAATTTACGTCTCTCTCCTATAGTTTCATAAACTATAAGAGGTATATTTTATAATTGTGAATAATGTTAGTACCACTATGTCAGATGAATAAATAATCAAATGATCAAAATAAAAGTTGTAGATCTCGAAAAGTTATGAAACTCTGTAGTTGATAACTTTTTGATTTGAAATCATCTTGTTAAGGAAAACTACGTTTGAATTTCTAAAATTTGAAATTCAAATTTTGTAAACGACCTCGGATGGAGAAACTATCAAAATAAAAGTTGTATATCCTAAAAAGTTATGAAACTTTGTAGTTGACAAGTTTTTGATTTGAAATCATCTTATAAAAAAACTACGTTTGAATTTCAAAAAATTTAAAATTTAAATTTTTTAAATGACCTCGGATTTACAAACAGCAAAAATGAAAGTTGTAGATCTCAAAAAGTTATAAAAACTTTGTAGTTGATAACTTTTTGATTTGAAATCATCTTATCATGGAAAACTACGTTTGAATTTCTCAAATTTGAAATTCAAATTTTGTAAACGACCTCGGATGGAGAAATTACCAAAATAAAAGTTCTAGATCTCGAAAAGTTATAAAACTTTATAGTTGACAACTTATATAATTTGAATTCATTTAGGATCCCAAATACTCATTTCAAAATCAGATGAACATAATATGGCTAGGACAAAAATCTCATTCGGACACAAACAACTTGCAAGTGCAGTGGTTAGGGGCTGAAGACACGAAGCAGGAGGTCAGGGGTTCGAGCGCCGGTGGCCGCGAAGCGTGTGTTTTTTGCGTGAAAAATCGTGTGACTTGTGACTTACGATGCCCATGTGGCTGTCCAATGGGGCCTCTCCCGAAATTTAAAAAAATCCTTATTTTTTGGCCTGTTTTTTGGATTTCCTAAAAAACACATCAGTTTCGATTCATAAGAACCGACAGTGATGTCAACCCCACATCACTGTCAGTATGTCACTGCCGGTTCAAAATCCGGTAGTAATGTCAAAAACTAGGGTAGTGACAGAGTGGAAGTGTTGTGCTTTCATAGGCAGAAGAGAAAAGCAGCCTTGGAGGGGATAATAATGAGCAAGAAGTAATATATGGTTCTGGGTTTGGAAAATGGAGAGCCATCCATCTGTTTGAAACACCGGCATAGAAAAATTGTGGGAAAGACTCCGCCTGTCTCTACATATCCAATCTTAATTTTAGGGGTGGCCACCTCTAGAAATAGCCTCTATTATTAGAGGTGGCAAGTATACTTGTATAGAAATGATTTTTGCTGACGCTACAATTCTTTTCACTGGCGGTCCATAAAAAGCAAACGCCACTACAAATCAAAAGTGGGCCCATGACTTTAAACCGATAGTGGACATCAGTTTTCACTACCGCGCTTATATATATAGAGGGACTTAGGGTTTCTATTGGAGTCTCTTCCTTAGCTGGTGACGCTTCCTCCTCCCACTCTCTCTCCCTCTACACTGCCTCTCCACACTCTCTCTGCCTCTCTCTCTCTGTGTGTGCTGCCCTCTCACATGCACTCTCTCCTTAGCACCACCGTTGGATTCGGTGCACCGAAGTGGATCTGGGCAGTGGCGCAGGATCAACTCTTCTTTGGTGGACAGTGGCAGGGGGTCTCCTTTCGCGGGCGGCGGCTCAGTTCTTCTTCCATGAGCGGCGGTGCATGGGTTCTGCCTCCCCTTATGGCTGCGTGGGCTCAGTGACGTCCACATGCGGCTGAGGAGTCCTAGATTTTGAGACCCCACTTTATCTCCCAATCCCACTATTGGAGGCAAAGGTCTCCAACAGGGTAGTAGTCGACACAAGTACCGATGAGTTAGGGTTTCATTAATGAGCTACCAACCAACCATTACATGGGTTGC